GCAGCGCTGCTGATGCCTGAACGGTATGTGGAATGAAGTGGGCGGGCATCGGGAGGCCACTATAGCACGGGGCAAGCACTGTGGGCAGTCTATCTGAAGTGTACCTGGCGTATAAGACGACCCCCCACTTGGAGGCATATTTTTCAGGGCCAAAAAATCGTCTTATACGCCGGCAAATACGGTACTAATTTCAAAACTTTATTAGAATGAAAACTTGACAGAGGAGAATAAGTAACCTAATAGTCCTACCACCTAGAGAAACCTTTAGTATTTTGTCGTCTAGACTTTTCACTTGTGCATGTATTTTACACGTAATTTTTCTCCCTTTTTATGCATGTACACAAATATTGCATACATTAATATGTTTTGTAACAAGACTGCCTTCAGGAAAAGCTCTGTTCCTAGCTCTACCGTCATTTTTAATGGTTGTATTGCAGTGTCAGTCTCCATCCACAGAACTTAAATACAGAAAAACAGAAACAGACTTGACCAAAATTGAAGCAAGGTAATTTGAATATTTATAAATTCACTATAGAAATACCAACGTGTATGATTGTGGGAGGCTGCTCTATGCTCCTGGAATGTTTTAGTATGCAGCATATGTACTGCCTTAACTTTATAATATTCAAAAGCTCTGAATTCCAAAACACATCTGGCCCCTAGGATTCCAGATAAAGAATTGACTTATAATTCATTGTTTTGATTGTGTATGATTTATCAATCTTTTTTAAATTATCCACGTTCCTTTCTGAATTTTAGAATTTTAATTCCTCTGGTCTTAATACAATGCAGCCATTAAAAATTATGATCATGTTGCCCAGTCGGCAAGGCTCAGTGGTTGAGCGTCAACCTATGAATCAGGAGGTCATGGTTCTATTCCCAGTCGGGGCACATGCCTGGGTTGTAGGTTCAATCCCCAGTGGGGGGCATGCAGGAGGCAGCTGATCAATGAGTCTCTCTCATCATTGCTGTTCCTATCTCCCTCCCTTTCTCTCTGAAATCAATAAAAGTATATTTTTAAAAAATTTTTAAAAGAAGAAAAATGATGAGTATATGTATACATAAAAGCCTAGAAGGCATACCAAAAATCCTAGTAAAGATTTCTCTAGGTGATAGAATTACAGGTTATCTTTATTTTTCTCTTTTTAAAAAACCATTTATTAAACATTGCTTCCTAAATCTTTGTTCACATCTATAAGTCTTTCCTTAAGATTGATGTTTAGGAATATAATTGAAAGGCCAGGTGATAAACTTACATTTTAGATTTCTGATAGGCATTAATAGTTTGTTCTTCATGGAGATTTTACCAGTTCACACTGCCAGTCAAAGTTGTATGGGAGCATGATTTTTACTTTTTTATAGGTATGCTTTACTGAGGTAAATTTATGGAAAAGGAGAAATTTAGCTCTTTAAATTGATATGTGTGGGTAATTAACATGCATAAGCAAATATTGAGGGTGATTTGCCTGAAAAGTTGAACAACAAATTTTTTCATAGTATGTGCAGAGTACTTTGTACCACATTACGGACACTACAAACAGTATGCACCAACAGCCAAAAAAAAAGGCATACGTCAGGTTCAAGAATGATGTAAAAGATTTCAGAGTGTATGTGAAAGAACAAACCCACTTTTAAGAACCGCTTCTAAGTGGGCTTTTGATTGATTTTGCTTTATTGTGATAGAATATAAAGATATTTCCACAGGGTAAAGTGGTGATCTGAAAATTTCTAATGTTTGTTCTTGGTGTGCAGTTGAAAATCATGGTTACTTAGAGCAAGTGTCAGACATGTGGCTCAGTTGCACCTGCGTGACATCTCTTCCCTTCCCTGTGTTTGGAACAGCCCCTGACAACTGCAGAACTTTCCCTGGATATAGAGACCCTGTGTTCTTTACTATACCTGTACTCTTAGCATGAGCTAGCTGCTAAGCTCTGAACCAAACTATCCAAAAAGAGAGCCTTTACCCAAACACACTTGTAAAGGTTCTTAATTCTGGACAAGACAATGGCAAGCAAAGGTTTTCAGGGGTTTTCTGTCTTCCTTTCTTTAGGTGAAGGTGCAGTCAATATTTTAAATTTTCTAAGACCACATTTTGTTTTCCATTAGGAGCAATAAGTCCTGGGTTTTTATCACATTTATTATAATTTTAGACACCTAAGAATTTATAGCAGTAAACTTCATAATTTTTGCTGTAACTCATGTCAAGTGGCCATAAATAGCCCGCAAGTCATTATAAATAGAATTCTAGATCCTATAGAGCAGGTACATATAACACACTTGGTGTGCATAAAAATAGCATGTTTTAGCCCTGGCTGGTTTGGCTCAGTGGAAAGAGCGTTGGCCTGCGGACTGAAGGGTCCCTCCCGAGTTCAACACCCGTCAGGGGCATATGTCCGGGTTGTGGGCTCGATCCCCAGTTGGGGGTGTGCGGGAGGCAGCCAAATGATGATTCTTTCTCATCATTGATGTTTCCATCTCTCACTCTCCCTTCCTCTCTGAAATCAATAAAAATATATTTTAAAAAATAACATGTTTTATAAGTAACATAATTTCCTTATTATAATTTAAGCAAATGTTTAATAACGTTCTTTGCAACCTTAGAATTTGCTAAGTTTTTATGATATGATTGTGAAAATGATATGTTGTCTTATTCCCTCAAAAAAATTTTTTTAGTATAGCTAGAGAAATTTTGAATCCTTCCATTTACATTGGGTGTTTACTTCTCTCATTCTTTCCCAACCACTACACCTCATCCTACATTGATCAAGATCTACCTTGAAAAAAAATAGGCTGAGGAGTGTGAAATAAAAGATAGGTACCATTATCCTTTATCAGTATGCTTGCCAGTCGGGTACTAAAAAGAAAAAAAAAACAGTGAAAAGTGGCTTAAACAGTGAAGAGGAGAAGAGACTTTTTCTATGAGGAGAATACTCCTATAGAATTGCCACTAAACCCAGCAAATTACAGCACCAGCTCC